CCTGTAGGACAGGTGTGGAAAGAAGCAAGCTTAGGGAAGGACACCCGGGGAGAGTGGAGAGCAGTCTAGCATTGGGGTGGATGTCACGTGGCCTCTGCCAGGCTGCCTGCCCTGCCACCTGCTGGCCTGTGACCTGGCTCCCCAATCTGTGCTTCAGTGAGCTCATCTGTGGACGGACGGACGGCCACTCTAATCAGAGCTCTCTCCCAGGGCTGCTGATTACACAAGCTCCTGTATGTTGAGAGCTCAGCACGTCTAGGTGCAGGGAAATACCGTTAATGAAAATGTGATTACTCCTACTGTTGAAGGAGAACCACACGGGCAGGGGGGGGGGAATAGGGTGCAGGAGCAGAGATGGGAGAGCACCCAGAGGGAACACAGGTTGGCTGGGTGTGTGAACTGCTGAGTGTGGCTGAGTGTGGAGCGGGCAGCAGGTGGTAGAGAAGATGCTGGAAGGGAGGTCGTCTGTGGACCTCGGGTGTTCCTGAGAAGTCTGCACCTTGTGCAGAGAACAGTGGGCTCTGTAGGCCCCTGGGATCTGCGGAGTTGCTGTGTGTGTCGGGTGTGGGATTGAGCATGCGTGGGTGGGCTATAGTGACCAGTGGCCACCTCTCTAGCAGCTCATGTGTGGGGTTGACTCAGTTGCTCATTTGTTCCAGGATTCAGAGACTTCAGCCTTTCCCAGCATCCAGCCAGTCAGCTCCAGCTCTACCTTGCATCCCAGCATGTCCACCATCCCACAGCAGGCTTCTCCTAGAGGCTGTGGAAGCCCCAGGCACACCACTTCCGGATGCACCCTGGAATCCTGCCTTTGTCTGTGTGTCGATGACTGCCCCAGAGGTCCTCTCTGCAAGTCCCCTCCAACGTTCGGAGTCTGTGTCCTCTCTATACGACACTGATGAGGAAGGGCACTGGATGGCTTTTTGGCAGTTTCTCATCTGTGAAGCAGGGAGAGAGCTGCTACACCCACCTCCAGGGGGTGCTGCTGGTGTGTGTGTGTGTGTGTGTGTGTGTGTGTGTGTGTGTGTGTGTGTGTGTGTGTGGAGATGCTGAGAAATGAGGAACTGCTTGCATAAGCTAAGAGCATGGCTGTTGCCAGTCCACACCAACCCACATGCAGGCGACCTTGCTTGCTTCCCTAGCCCCCAGTGAAGCTCTTGCTTATGCTAAATACCTTGACATGCCAAACAGTGGGGTGACAGACCCTGCCCATCTGGGGTTCATGCCCATTGTGAGGCTGGAAAGGGGAGCCTGTGAAGCTCAAGGATACAGAGAATCAGGTGTCCCCCATTTACACAGCACTTCCCTCCATTCCTGTGCCCTGCATAACCTTAGTTTAGAGCTTACAGAGAGAAACTGGTCTTTGCTGAACGCAGGCACCAATGCATGCATCAGAACTAGCTGCTTCCACATTTGTGATCTCATTTTAACCCCTTAACCACCCTGTGGGGTAAGTATATAAAGTCCCATATCAGGTGGAGGCATGAAGAGGTTAGGTAAGTAGCGCACAGTGACAAAGCTGAATGGGCTAAGTGTTCTCACTGGCAGGTCAGGAGAGGTGGGAAAGACCCAGAGAGAAACGGCTTTGGGAGTCGTTACTACCAAAGGCTGTGTACAGGCACACACACCCGAACACTGCCCTGGCCAACCCTGAGAAGCCACCTGCCCTTCTCTCTTTTCTCTCCAGCTTCCAGACTCAACACAGCTGCTGGGCAGTCTCATTCCCAGCCACCATGTTGACAAGACTCACTATGCCCAGCAGGGGAACTGAAGCCTGGCTTGCATTAGATCAGTGGTTCTTAACCTGACCCCTTTGAGGGGGTGTGTCGAATGACCCTTTCACAGGGGTTGTAAATCAGGTATCTTTCATATCAGATGTTTACTTTATGATTCGGATCAGTAGTAAAGTTACAGTTACGAAGTAGCAATGAAAATAACTTTATGGTTGGAGGGGTCACTACAACATGAGGAACAGTGTTAAAGGGGTACAGGATTAGCAAGGTTGAGAAGCACTGTATTAGATGGTTGATGGTAACATGTAATTTATATCACCTGGAGGCAGAGGCTGTCTTTTTTTTTTTTTTTTTGGTCTTCATGACGAACTGCATCTATTCATAAAAGCATGTCACTCTAAGTAGAGGGAGCCAGGTGCACGGTTTGCAGATGGGGTAGGGAAATGACAACTGTTATAAGGATGGCAGCCTTCCAAAGGCCTCCTGGGGAAATGGCCTAAGAGAGCAGCAAGGAGCCAACAAACAACAGATACACGAGTGAAGTTCCAACTGTGACTGGCTGCACGAGGGGCACAGAGACCTCATCAGGCTGCCAGAGAATCATGGGAAGTGGCTTGACTTTGCCTTCTCAAGCCCTGGTGTTTGGTGAGGTGGTTTTTACACCAGTCTTTAACAACAGACAGGATGTTGGGGTCCGGGATACAAGAAGGGGGTGTTTTATGTGTGTCTGCCTGTTTGCCTGGTGATGGCACTCCAGGGAACTACCAGGAGCACAGCACATCCCAGGTGGCCACTGGCCCTGCAACCACAGAATGACCTAGATCTAGCTAGCTGCTGGCAGCAAGGCCACTGACTTCACAGCCAGAACACAGCCCGTATCAGATCAATTAAACCAGAGGCAGCCATGAGCTCCTGAGCACATCTGTGTTGCACCCCTCTGAGTCTAGGGGTGCTTTGTATGTAGTGCCACTGTGACCATAGCTGACTGATACACACTCCTCTTGCCTCTTTAGAGTGTGTATGCTTTTATATAGACAATTTCACCACTTGGGAAATCTCAACACACTTTTTTCTAAGAGAGATAAGCTAGCTGTGCAGTGATCATTTGTATAAAGTAGCAACACAGAACGCAGCAGTTGGAAAGCTGTTGGGACTCAAAAAAGTCATAGGGGGTGGCAAAGAACTGAGGAAAGGGAGACACTGTGGCTCTCTGGGGGCTCATCCAATAGTCCTGGGTGTCATAGGTTAGTTAACTGAGGTAGGTGGATTGACTTGCTATATATCTGTATCTATATCATATCAATCAATCAATCTATCTATCTATCTATCTATCTATCTATCTATCTATCTGTGGTACCCAAGAGAGGGAAGAATGTTCACCCTGCTTCCCTGCTGGTTCTTGCCTGACCTCTGGCTACAGTTTGGATTTTCCTGGTGAGCATAGCCCCTTTCACAGCTGGCTGCCAGCCCTTTTGTATGGTGGTTGCAGGTAAACCAGAGGTACCTGAAATAGGACCCCAGTGTCTCCCCATTGCTTGCACTGACTGGATACAAGCTGGGGAAGAAGGTTGCTACGACTAAAGGAGATGGGGGGCGGGGTGGGAGAAGGGGCTCAGGTGTGGACCTTCTGTGGTCATTGCCAAGGGTGGCATATCCTCATTGTCTGTGACCAGGAAAATGGCCCCTATTGTTGGTCTGATGGTGGGGAGACGTTTTGTCCACAAAGAGCAAGAATGAACCGACCACACTCCTGAGCTCTGGGACTTTTCCAGGACCCTTTGGTAATGCCAGTGCTGAAATGGATCCTGGCCTTTCCAGGTCTAGCTGCTGGCAGATACCCCATCTTTCTTTGCTCTTGCTGGTTGGGGAGCAGTTGTGTCATATTCCTGGGCTGACCAAGATGAGGAGCAGTGTGGATGAGCAGAGAGAAACGGATGGGTTGAGGCTTCCCATTGGCTGCTTTGAAGGTTGGCCAAAACACTGTATTGGCACCTCACTTGCTCCTCAGAACAGGGGTGGGGCCCTGGATTCTGTAATTGGGTGGGTGGGGGGAAGCTCAGTGAGGGATGGGAACAGTGGCCGCCGCCCCAGCTGTTCCTTGTCTATCTGGCCTGCTGTGTGTGCACACGGGAGTTCTCTGACAGATCTTTCTCTTGTCTGCAGTGTCTTGCATCTATAAGTGCCACCAGGAGGTGGGGGAGGAGGAAAGACTGTACCCCAGCAAGAGTGGCATACCCAGAATGCTTTGCAGCTCACTCCCCAAACAGCTTCCTCCCCCACAGCTTCTGCAGATGGATCTGAGCAGAGCTGGCATTGTGTCTGGCAGCTCTTGCCTGCCAGTGGCAGCACCCCCCACCCTCCAGTGGCAGCATCTGCCACAGCTTTCACCCATCAGTGGCAGCGCCCCCCCCCCAACTCTCATCTACCAGTGGCAGGCCCCTCAGACCTTCTGCTGCTTTACTGCAGAGAGAATGACACAGGGGCTGTACACACTCGCCAGGGTATCTACAGTAGGTTGAACGTGGCCTCCTAGAAGATTTGCTTAGATAGAATTTGTGAATAAGATCTTTTTGAGGAAAGGGTCTATGCAGGTATAATTAAAGATCTTGTGGTGGTCCTGAGTCAGAATGGGTCCTAAAGCCAATGACCCTGTTCTTGGAAGAAGAGGAAGAAGTGGTACAATGGAAGACAGACTCAGAGACTGGAGCAAAGTATCCACAGTACAAGGATCACTGAGGATGCCAATGGCTACCAAGCACCACTAAGGAATGCCAAGGGATGCTAAGGACTGCCAAGGACCACCTAGGAATGCCAAGGGCCACTGAGGACCTCTAAGGACTGCCAATGATCATTAAGAGGGGGGCAAACACCACCAAGGACCAACAAAGGATGAGTTCAGTGTTAACAATTTTCAACCACCAAAAAGGAAAACCAAGGACTGCCAAGGGATGCCAAGCCACTAGAAGCCTGAAGAAATAATGGAGCTTCATGGTGAATGTGGTCCTGCAGACCCCTTGACTTTGTGCTTCTCACTGTCACTCCCACACAAGAACATGCATCAGAGCACAAGGACCACTGTCATCATGATAGGACGGTCTGGCATTCATGTACTCTAACGCATAAACAGCACTGACCATCCTTCCATTTAAAGACTATTCACGTTTAAGGACTGGGAATGTACTGTGAAAAACTCACAACCCCAGGCCCAGAACCCAGTGTCCCGGGGGCCAACTTGAGAAGGGTATTTGTGACAATGATTGGACTTACCTTCTTCCTGGGCCATCTCTTGGAGACAGAAGTAGATGACTCTGGCTCCCAGGCTGAACCCAATCAAGGTGACAGGTCTCCGGCCCTGAGGGGAAACAGGACACAGGTGTCTGGGGAGGTTGCAGCAAGTTTAAACACATCAGTCCTGCAAACTCCTCAGCTCTTGCTTGTGTGCACAATATTCTGGCTTCCCACACTCTGAAGTGTCAATCAGCGGTGTCGGGGTCCTTGCATATGCAGAAGCTGGCAGCTCTGGGTTGGCTTCTTCAAGGGCAGGTGGCTCCTGGCTGGGCCAATTCCCTTTCATCTCAAACCGTTATCAGCCATTGCTCTTCTTCCCAGTGAGGCAGAATGAGTCCATTACAAGGACTCCCTCCCTTAGACTCATCCGCCCAAGGCAAAGGACCATAGTGATGCGGGGTCCCTCTGAGGATGGAGAGATTACACACAAGGTACCATGTGATGAGGAAAAATTAGGAAGGCACGGGAGGAAACATTTTCTAGATAGGAAATGACAGGATACTGACTAGGGAGCCTGGAGGAAAGTTGAGGCATTATGGGGTGTGCTAAAGAAAAGGGAAATTGGGGAATGGGGTCCAGCTCCACACAGGAGGTGAAGGAGCAGGCAGTCAGAGCTGCTAAACATCTTAGTGTCCGTCCTCTCTCTGTCCCGAGTCTTTCTAGGCACACAGCCTGAGAGGGAGCCTCTGGAAGTCCTTTGTAGCTAAGGGTATTCCTGGGGTGGGAGTCCTGGCCAGGGGACTGAAGACCAGGGGCAGCTGTGACTCCTCGTCATGCCTTTCACTTCTGTGTTCCAACCTCTGAAAGTGCACGCAATGTTGGTGGATGTCCTCAGGCACAGAGAGACACCAGTGCTTGGCACAAGAGGCCACAGGACTGAAGGAGCTGGGGCTCCCAGAAGGCAGAGCAGTGATTTGGATGAGAACGGCCCCCAGAGGCTCATAGGTTTATTGGTCCCCAGTTGGTGCAACTGTTTGGGAAGGATTAGGAGGTGGGGTTCTGTTGAAGGAGGTGTGTGACTGGGGTGCACTTTGAGGTTTCAAAAGCCTACACCATTCCCAATTAGCTCCCTTTGCTTCATGCCTGTAGACTGAGATGTGAGCCCTTGGCTACTGCTTTAGTGCCAGGCCTGTCTGCCTGCCTAAGCCTCTGGAACTGTGAACTTCAAATTAAATACTTTCTTTTATGTTTCCTTGGTCATGGTGTCTTGACATAGCAATGGAAAAGGAACTAAGACAGAGTAAAAGTTTCTGCTGAGGCATGCACATCCTAGGTCCCAGAACCTGTGAATGTCACTTAATGTCCAGGAGAGGGACCACGGTGGTTGGACTAGGAATGGTCCCCATAGACTCGTGTGTTTGACTTCTTGGCCCATAGGGAGTGGTACTATTAGGAGGTGTGGCCTGTTGGATAAGAGTGGGGGTGGGCTTTGAGGTCTCACATGCTCAAGTTACACTCAGTGTGGCTCACAGTCTCCTGCTGCTTGCAGATCAAGAACTCTCAGCTACTCTCCCACCCTACGTCCACCTATATGCCACCATGCTTCTCGCCACGATGATAATGGACTAACCTTCCGAAACTGTAAGCCAGCCCCAATTAAATGTTTTATAAGAGTTGCTGTTATCACAGAGTCTCCTCACAGGTATAGAACAGTGACTAAGACAGAGACTTTGCAGATGTGATCTAGTCAAGAATTTTAGCTGGGTGTAGTAGCTCATGCCTGTGACAGGCAGCTGGGGCTGGATGCCTACTAGGAGTTAAAGCCATCCAGGGCTACACTGTGAGTTCTAGTGCAGCCTGGGCTGCAGAGTGAGACACTGTCCCAACCAAAATCAAACAAACAAAAAAAGAGGGGTGCAGGAGGGAAAAGGAATCAGTAATCAGAGGGAATCAGGAGTCAGAGGAAACCAGGAGGAGGAGCAGAGAGGTAGAAGAAGCCTGTGGATGCTCCAGACACTGTTAGCTTTGAAGATGGAGGAAGGGTGCCCAGCAGAGGAGGACAGAGGCCCCTGGGAGCCTGAGAAGGCTAAGCAATGGACGCTTCCTTGCAGTCTCGAGAAGGAAGGCAGCCTGTGGAGGCGTATTGGATGGATGTCTTCTCTCCACACTGTGGGGAAGTATGCTCGTGTGTGAGCATGCTAACAGAGTCACTTTGCTTGATTGTTTGCACCCAGACTGCTCCATGGGAGACGACAAAGTTCCACCTTGTTTAGCCAAAGCAGCCTTGGTCTTTGCCTTTCAGCCAGATCTGCTGAAGGGCTACTCTGGTTTTCCTTTTCATTTTGGGAGGGAAAGACACAGGGATTGGCTGGTGTTTAGCAGTTTCCCAGGCAACATTCCCAGGTTGGCAGAAACTGCTGGGTCTCTCAGTATCTACTCTCCCCTTTGTCCGCAGTAATTGAATTTCTGCTGGCTGCATGCCCTTTCAGAATAAAGACTGAATTTCCTGGCTTTTTGGGCAGTGAAATGTGATCATGTGACTAGACTGGCCAAGGAGTGGACCGGAGAGGCTGCATGGCACCCCTTCAGTTCCTCCTTTCTCCTGCCTGCTAGAGCTCAGGTGCTGCCATTCTGGGGCAGGGAGTCAAGGCCACACCCAGGGTAACACGGCAAGAGGCCTCTCTCCCATGGCACATACCATCAGAGTGCCTGACAGTCACTCTAGGCTTCTCGAGCGAAAATAAACTTCACCTTGAGAGTGTGTGTGTATGTTTGTGTATGAGTGTATACATGGATGTGTGTGTGTGTGTGTGTGTGTGTGTGTGTGTGTGTGTGTGTGTGTTGGCTAGAGGTCAACACCGAGTGTCATTCCTCTCACTGGTAGAGGGAGGGTAGAAGTGGGGTTTGTTCTGATTTAGTTAGCCTTGGTGGGCAGTGAGCCCCAGGGAGCCCCTTGTTTCCACCTCCCCAGTGATGGTATTAAAAGTGAGTACCACCACTTCTGGTTTGTTTTGTTTTTAAATGCAAGCTCTGAGGGCAAGTACTTTATCAAATTTCTCTGGCCCTGGATCCAAATTTTATTCTAAAGCCATTTAAAACAATTTTTTTCGATATAGGGTTTCTCTGCGTAGCTTTGTAGACCAGGCTGGCCTCAAACTCACAGAGACCTGCTTGCCTCTGCCTCCTGAGTGCTGGGATTAAAGGAGTTCGCCACCACTGCCCAGCTATTTAAAAATTATTTTTATGTATGTGTATATGTATGCCACGTGTGTGCAGGTGCCCAAGGAGGCTGGAAGAAGAGGTCAGATTTCCTGGAGCTGTACTTATGGGTGGTTTTAAGTATCCTAGGATGCTTTCCTGATTTCAACTTGAGTGGCAGCAAAGATGGACCCCCCCCCCCCAAAGCTGCAGGGCTGATTCCAAGCATCTTACTGTTGGGCTCCCATTAGTATACATGGTCTATGCATTGGTATCCAAGCTTCCTCTGTCTGCCTCCCTCCCACCCCACATCCACCATTCCTGGGTACCTGCTGCCGTGAGAGGAGGATGTGTGCCAGGTGCTTGCCAACCTCTGCCGACCGGTGAAGACATACGCCCCAGGGATTGTCGATGACATTGGCAACACTGAGGAGGGAAGCCGGCCAAGTCAGGGCAGCCACGATACCTGGGGAGATGGGAGCCTGGAGATGAAGCAGGGGAGCCTTGCTGGGGCAGGATGGCTGATGGATGCTCTAGTCAATGCATATGGAATCTGTTTAGCCAGGAATCTGAAGGGTTTCCTAGCATCAGGCTCTGACTAGCAAAAGGGGAGATTTAAAACAAACATATCTGATACACAAACTATATCTCTTGCCCAAGCATACATCACTGTGAGATTCCAAAGACGGCCCCATCCACTCACCCCATCCAGTATCCTAGATCCATCATCCTGCCCAGCCCACGAGACTTGTATAGGGCAAAGAGAAGCATCTGTGAGGATTGAACTAGCCTTGGGTATGGGACCACCCCTGCTGCACCACTCCCACTGGTATGGGCTAGCTTGGTGTCTTCAAGAGGAGAGACACATGGGACAGAATCAAGCTGTTCAAGTTGCCTCAGGCAATCTGGTCTGATTGGGGACAGTTGGCTGACCCACAGATCCATAAGTAGGACTAGTTGAGATGGCTCAGCTCCAGCCTTGCCACTCCTGACCTATTAGTAAAAGGATTATTATGCCGTGAGCTTGGGGGTGACTTGTTAGGCAACAATAGTCAATGGCTACTTTATGCAATTGGCTGTTGCCTTGTCTCTTGGCAAAGAAAAAAAAATCACAAACTTTTCACAGAGGAAGCTGAGGCAGGAGAATTGCAAGCTTAAGGTCTGCCTGGGCTACCAATGTGAGTTCAAGGTCAGCCTGGACAAATTTTATTAACCCTGCCTTGAGATTAAAAAGTAAACACAAACTTAGGGGAGGGTAAGAACATGATCAAAATATATTTAAATTTGAAAACTTTTAAATAATAATACAAACATTCTAGTCTAAGGTTGTGATTGCTGCAGCCATTTTTGTCTCCAAATGCACAATAAAACAGTGGTTTTCCCCTCTCCACTCAAAACAAAAACAACAAAAAATGAAAACACGGTGCCAGAGAAGAGCTGATTGGTAGAATGCTCGCTTGGCATGCATGAGGTCCTAGGTTTGGTCTGCACCCTTCGTCTTTAGCATGGTGCCAGGCTCCCTTGGGTCACAAGCATTCGAGGATTTGGTGCCACAGTATCACACAGTGTCATACCATGGCCGATCAGGGAAGGGTGCTTACCGGAGAGCACGGTGTACTTGAGAGCCTCCTGGGCCACCATGTTAGCGAGGCCACTGAGGATGGTCTCCAGGGCATTGCCCAGCTCCATCAGGTACTTGGCTTCCCAGGCCAAGCAGTACTGCTCCTGGCTGCGGGCTAGAGCCGTCCACGGGGCGCTGAATGTGCCTGAAGAGAACATAGACAGGTGTAGGCAGCATCCTCTATTGGCTGTGGCAGAGGAAGCCCCTCCCACTGAATCAGACAGACAACAACAGGGTCCTTTTGCTCCTGAGAGTTCTCTCTGCCATCACTCAGCTGCAGTCAGTAGAGCAGACGAGTGTACTGCCTCCTGCCCTATATATAAGTCCTTCCAGAGATGGCTTCCAATCCCAACTCTTGTCCTCATTAAGAACTAGGTGACCTTGGAGACATGACCATCTGACCTTGAACCTCACAGTGTTCATCTATGAAGTGGGAAGATGTCAGGTAAGTGTCTGAATTTCTCCAAGGTAAAGGGTTCCTTCCTCTCAGCCCAGAGGCAACGCCAACACCCAGGGGGACTAGCGCCCGGGCCCCCTGAGCTGGCAGCACCTGGACTCCAGAAACACTAACTGGGAAAGAATCCGGGAGTTGGAGGTCTAGAGTAGAAGAGTCAGGGTCACCCCATTGCTCTCAGCCTCTATTTCCTCACCTAGAACATGGAGATGGGAAATGACCTTGAGTGAGGGTGAGGAGACAGCATTACCACAGAGACAAAGACTCACCGGGACCATCTGGTCCATCCTCCCCTCCCCATGACCTCTGTCTCCAGAGCCCAGCAGGATACTCGATCTGGTCCATCTGCCTGTGGCAGATCACACACACCTGCTCCAGCCCCTGGTACAGGCACTTAACTAGCCCCCCTCTTGAATCAGTTCCCTACTTTCTTCCTCTGGCTCTTGGGGTTCCAGCCCTACGTTCCTGTCACTTGATGTCTTTGCTGTATTGTGCATTCTGTAAGAGCACAGACAATGACTGTGTTGTTCCCCGTTGACCACTGAGGGCTTGGCTTGCTGTGGGGCACACAGTAAGACTGATATTTAATAATACAGTCGGGTGACTGACTGGTGGTGGGTAGCGTGGCAAATGGATGAAGGATGGGTACACTGTAGCTATTGCTGGCTAGATAGGTGAATTCTTCTCTGGATAATGGATAGTTGGGTGCACAGGTGGATGGGTAGAAGAGAGTTTCTCACCTCTCTGGACCTATTTTTCTCTCTAGGAAATGAGCCTCCCACACCCACCCCTTAGAACACACAGAAAGAACCAGCTCAGGGTCTGACCAACAGCCGCAGACCCGGTTCCAGTCCGAGTCCCTGTCTACCCTGGTCCTCACGGTAAATGCCGGACCCAAGCCAGCCAGTGATGGCGATGGTGATGTGCAGCTGCCTGCCTTCTGTCAGAGGCAGGAACATGAACTCCTCAATGGCCCCAACTCGCTTCTTCATCTTGTATCCTGAGGACATAGAAACAAGCAGCTGTGGCCACGTATTCATACAGCAAGCACTGCCTATCTGCTCCCGGACAAATGCATTTCATCTGTGAACTCTTTAAGACAGGTACCACTACTGTCCTGATTGGAGGACAGTAGGACACTGTCCAAGGCCACCAGAGCCACACTAGCGTCTAAACTGTCACCATGTCCCAAGTTTCCTGCTGGGCCTTAACTCTCACAGAGGTGATGTTGACTGTGATTCTTGGCAGTGTTCCACATGCCTGAGTGTGACTAGGGGCCAACGGCATGGGTGAGGCTGGATGGCTGAGGCAAGGACACCAGGAAGCTTCATGCCTCCAAGGGACGGTGCCTGGGTACTTTCCTGGGTGATGGCAATAGACTGGGCTGGACTCTTTCTCAGCAAGTACTCACGGGGTGCCCATGGGAAAAAATTAGTTTGTCAAACTTTGTCCTGCCCCTGGCTGTGCTGAGGTCTGCTGCAAGCCTGGCTTGGTGGGACTCAGAAGGGGCAGAGTTGCATCATTTCCTCACACCCTGAAGAAGTCATCTGGGGTGTCCTTTCAGCTGAGTCATGCTGGATAAAAATCCTTTCCAACAACTTTACCTGTCAGGCCAGCTCCGGCTGCACCGAACAGTGAGGTCATGACTGCTATGCCAGCCACGGAGCCCAAGGCGGCTGCCCCAGCGCTGCCGATGATTGTGGCAGCTCCTGCAGCAACAAGGGGGGCAGCTAGCCCCCCAGTCACACCTGCAGGGTAAGAGCTCAGTCAGGATTAATGGGTTCTTCTCCCATGAGCTGCCCACTGCCTTCTGTGGAAGCTTGCAGCAATGCCTTTAAATTATCTTTTAAAGATAATTTAAAAAGAGACATTCTCAAATAGCTCAGGGTGGCCTCAGCCACTCTAGGCAGCCAAGAGTGGCTTTGAACTCCTGATCTTTCTGCCTCTATCTTCAAGTGCGGGGATTATAGGCAGCTTCTATCAGTGTTAATGAGTGTGTTTACTCTGAGTTTGAGAACCTGTCACATGCTGGGGCCGCCTCCCCACCGATACCCAGACCGTGAGCTAACCCCCACAGCGGGTCTCACCAATCACTGCCCCGCCTCCGACTGTGGCCAGGCCTATCAGGAGATAGCGTTTCCACTTCCTCTGCTTTTCTTTCTTCTTCCGGGATGCCTCTGCGGTCCTGGAGAGAAGAGGCTTGTCTATGACCAGTCATGGGCCAGGATCCCTTGAGATCTCCCACCTCACCAACCCTGGACCATCCGTGGCTGAGGGAAATCTCAGTGAATGGGGCACACTACTTACCCAGCAGATCCTTCCTAATGGGTGCAATTTAAATAATGAAAAGACAATAGTAATAATAGTAATAATAACAACAACAACAACAACAACAACAACAGCAAGAGAAGCACAGAATAGCTTTCACAGGAGAGATGGACCCAGAATGAGTACAGTGTGTATCCCCATCTTTCCAGCAGAATCAGCCTCCCCTGGGGATTTTGGGAAAGCCATCTCTTCCAGAGTGATTACTTGTGGGATGGGCTAGAGAAACATCTGTATGGGTGATGGTGGCCTTGTGCCAACTGCTGGATTGGTCCAGTCTCAAAACACAGACCCTAAAAACCCAGACAAAGGTGAGAAGGCATCTGCAATGACAGTGGCTGGGGTTTCTGTAATTTAGTTTTTAGTTCTTTGAGAGAGGGCTCAAGGCCCCGGCAGGCCTTCAACTATCTATGTAGCTGAGAATAGCCTCGAACTTAGGATCCGCCTGCCTCCACTTTCCAAGTGTTGTAATTGCAGGCATGCACCACCATGTCCAGGTAGGGGCCTGGAGCCCAGGGTTTTGAAAATGCTAGGTGAGCACACATCGACTGAGTGGCCATCACCAGCCTCTGTGAGAATGGCTGTCTCAAGTGCTCAGAGCCAAGATGCTCAGTTTCTTGGATGGACCTTTAACCCCTGGCTGCTTTAAGGAGATCAGGGGCAAGGAGAGAGGTGGAAGGTGGGTGGAGAGGCCATTACGAGAGAACTCTGAACCGAAGCTGGAGTTTGGACAACTGAGCATGGAGCGATCATAAATGACGAGAAACAGTTAATATTTAGTGAGTGTTTCCTCTACACTGGCCACCACACTGTGCATGTCCCATATTTGTCAAGAAGCAGTTTATTGCGGTCCCACAGTCCGGATGCTTTAAGAGATAACAGTGGTTATTCCAGAGGGGATGTGTGTGTGTGTGTGTGTGTGTGTGTGTGTAAGAGGATGCTTAAAATCTTCTAGGATAGGGGCTTAAGTAGTACACACATCCTTGGAGGTAACAGTGGCTACTGCTGCCAATAACACAGGCCTGAGCTCTAGTTTTCTGCAATATGAGGACAATAATACAATTTTGTTTTTTCGAGACAGGGTTTCTCTGTGGCTTTGGAGGCTGTCCTGGAACTAGCTCTTGTAGACCAGGCTGGTCTCGAACTCACAGAGATCTGCCTGCCTCTGCCTCCCGAGTGCTGGGATTAAAGGTGTGCACCACCACTGCCTGGCTAATACTACATATTTTTAAAAAGAGAAATTTTTTACTACATTAATTTATTGTGTGCGTGTGTGGATGTGTAGGATTGAGGACAACATATGGGAGGAGGTTTTCTCCCGCCACCATGTGGATCCTAGGGACATCACTCGGGTCATCAGGCTTGGCAGCCAGTGGCTCTACTCACTGGACCATCATGCTCGCCCAGTGATAAATTGCTTTTCGAGGATGAAGCTTAACTGTGCTATGGCTATTTAGCCAACAAACTTACTGCAAATGGGTAATGCACTGCCCCCTTGGAGTCTGCATATCTGTGGGCTCAACCCCCAAGCCCCAATCCATGCTCAACCAACATGCTCATATCCTTCCTTATGAGCAGAACCAAGAAATGGATTTGCCTCAGGCACCAAGGAGTTGGTGACCGTTTGGCTTCCCACCAGCGCCAGATTACCTCAACACACTTTTCTCCTGCCAGAGCCCTGTGTGGAAAGCAGCCCCTCTCAGCTGCTTCCCTGCAGAGAGCCAGAAACCAGCGATAAGAACCTTTGCCTGCCGTGGGTTTCTGTGATGAGATGGGGCATGCTCCCAGCAGGTGGACAGTGAGATGGGACTAGGAGTGAGGGGGGCTGGTGTCAGGACATAAACTGTGACATTCTGCAGTTGACTCTCAGTATCGGTGGGGGTTGGTTGCAGGTGTCCCAGAGTGCACCGGAATCCACAGGGCCTCATATGACTTACATGTGTATACATTTGTATATAGCTTCTGCATATCCTCTTGAGTGCTTTAAAGATGTTGAGATTTCATGTATCTCATACAATGTAGCATGCTATGTGTTACAGTATTTGTACCATTTATGTAAAGTGACAAAGGAAATAAAGTACATTCAGTACAGACCTTCTTTTTAAAAAATAATTATTTTAGGCTAGGTATCATAGAACACACCTGAATCCCCAGAACTGAGGAAGTGGAGGCAGGAGGATCAGAAGATCAACCTTGTACAGCCTTGGCTATATTATGCTGAAGTCCAGGCCAGCCTGAGCTACATGACACCTTATAAAAAATTAAAAAGAAAATCAAACAAACACATTTTGTGGTCCATGGCTGGTTGACTTGGAGGGTGCAGACACGTCATAGTTGAAGACAGTATCCCTGAGACACTGCTGGCCAGCTTTCCCCAGTGCAACATGGGAGGAAATGACATTGTCATTTCTGGCAGAATCTTTAAAAGCAGTGCAGGAGACTGACAGGTTTCTTTTCCTTCTACCCTGAGAGCGACGGCATTCCAGACAGGTGCCAATCAATCCCTCAGCTTGGAGCTCAGAATCGGGACAATGTGGACAAGACCCACAGCCGATCTGCAGTGGGCATTGAGAGCATGAAACAAGCCTTTGGCACTGCAAGTCACGGGGGCTATTTGTTACAGGAGCAAAACCTCCCCACCTCACTGAGCATGTGACTGACTCTGTACAGGTTACACCCGGACCTCTTCAACCAGCAAACATCCTGGAGGTGGGGTGGGGAGTGTCCGAAGGCCTGCATGAGTTGACTGGCCAAGGTGACTGGCTTATTGTCACTGTTCAATATGTTTGTTGCTGTTATCATGTTTCTCCTGGCTATAATCATTTCCTTCTGCACAGAGGTGGAAATATACTTTGACCTTTAATGGCTTTGACCCTTCTTTGATGACCTTTCCATTAATTGAAACAGGAGACCTGGAAATGACTGGCTTCTGGCGCAGTGGAAGGGCCTGGGCGAAGCTCTCTAGTGACTGACAACAGACAGTGGGGACTAGAAGTGTGGCTTGGAGTCAGTGGCACCTCCACACAACAGTCATGGACTAGGGAGCAGCTGGATGCTGAGAGAAGAGGTGTGGGGGTGGGGGGGCAGGGGGCAGGGCAGCACCGCTGGCTCATCCTTCCCTAGTCTCTGCCCTCAGGAGTTTTCCCTGGGCAGGGGAGGTGTTCAGGGCAGGCTTCTTTTTTGGGTATGAGTACATGTGTGTTTAGAAGCATGTGCCTATTGAATGCCTGTGGAGGCCAGAGGTTGACTGACATCACATGTCCTCCTCAGTTGCTCTCCACTTTATTTATTTATTTATTTATTTATTTATTTATTTATTTTCAGTCAGGGTTTCTCTGTGGACTTGCCGTTCACTGATTCAGTGATACTAGCTGGCCAGTGTGTTTCAGGGATCTGCCTGCCTCCACCCAACTCCTATCCCAAGCACACTGGGGTTATAGGCTCATGCTGCCGCATCTGGCTTTTTCATGTGGGTGCTGGAGATCCGACTCAGGTCCTCATGTTTGTACAGCAAACACTTTACACATGGAGACATGTTTCTCATGTCTCCTGGGACATGTTTCTCAAACAGAACCAGTTATTCCAGTAGATGCTGACTGCTTTGCTTCAGTGATATAGCCCCCCTACCATTTATGAAAACCAGAGGGACACAGGCTAAATGAAAACGTGTAAGTGGAGTACAAGCCAGTCACCATCCAGTTAGAAACTTGGGAATAAGAGAACAAATGGGAGTTGTCAGAAAATGTTTATGAACTTGAGGCCACTCTGGTCTACGTGGCAAGTTCCAGGCCAGTCAGGGCTGTATAGTGAGGCCTTGTCTCAAGTAAATAAATAAAATGTTCATAATTATTATTAATGTAATTTACTCAGAACCTAGTAAAGTTTCCAAGTTTGTGCCATTGACCTGACTTGGCACTGCTGGCTTCTAGATTGTTCCCACAGTGACATCCATATAATAATGGTACCAGATGGTCAGCAGGCTTGGCTGAGTTTGATGGAGTAGAATGACAACAAGATCTTAGGGTCCCTGAAGGCTGTGTGACTCAAATGCAGAAAATTAGTACAACGGAGTAGTTGTGCAGAGACCACACACGCATGAGATGCTCTGAACACTCACAGTCTCCTCCACGTTACCGTTTATGTGTTTGCAAACTTTTTTGTTTTTAACTGGAAAAGGTAAGATTTTCTTTCTTTAAAAAAAGCTTTATTATTTGTGTGTGTGTGTGTGTGTGTGTGTGTGTGTGTGTGTGTCTCCATGTAGTGTGTGCATCAGATACATGCAATACCAGTGGAAGCCTGAGGGAGACATAGCTGGAACTGGAGTTACAGGTGATTGGGAACCGCCATGTGGGTGCTGGGAAATGAACCCGAGTCCTCTGGAAGAGCAGCCGGCGCCCTTAACTTCTGACCCAACTCTACAGCCACCTTTTGTTTCTTTTAAAAAGAAAGCAAATGTTACTTTACTTTTTCAAGTTTTTGTGACTTTTACTGTATGTATATATGTATGTGTGTATGTTTAGGTATGTGTGTATAAGTGGAGGCCAGAGGATAGCTTGTGGGGATCAGTTCTCTGCTTTCACCATGTGGGTCCCAGGGATCAAACTTAGGCTGTCAGGCTTGGCAGCCAGTGCCTTTACATGCTGAGCCATCTCACCAGCCCCCACGTAGGTATTTTTCTTATTTACTTAGAGGAAGCTGTCTCTCTGACATTCACCTGCATGGCTTATTTGTTTCCGGATGTGTACCCATCTTAATCACCGCTTTCCCTGTAAAGTGAATAGTTTCCCTGCTGATTATCACAGCATTTTCCTCCTGTGTCTGGTTGAATTTCAACACTGAGCACCCAAGGGGAGACTCCTGCTGTGAGTCACAGCTAGGATACTTTCTTCCTTTTCCTTGGACACTGAGATTCTGAGAACTCTACACCTAAATGATGGCTTTGTTCTTGCCATGGACTTTGCCATCTGATTAGACACAATGACAGACCATACCATCAGACAGTCAGTCGCTGGCCACACTCACCCTCTAGAATGCTAGGCGTGAACTTCAGTTGGTGTATCCATGTCAGCTGAGGTCAGACTCCACACTGGCTGCAAAAATGGCTCAGGAAGAGTAATATACCAACACTGTTCACAGCATGGAGCCACCAATCAAATGTACCCAAAGGCGCCTGATCTCTCATGAGAGTGTTCCCTCTAGCCTCCTCGCCTGTTGCCAATGGAACTCAGGACCCCACATATGTTAGGCAAGCGGTCTACCACTATGCTTGCTGGCCGTCAGCTTAGCTCCAGGTTCAGGGAGGGACCCTTGTTTCAAGGGAATAAGGTGGAGAGTGCTAAGGCAGGACAGACACCCAATGTCCTTGTCTGTCCTCATGTGTGTGTGTATGAGTGATTTACCTGCAAATGGTGTGCACCTCCCTCCCCAAGCCTGCCCTGAGAGCCGTTTCTAGTTAAAGCTAGGAAGGAGGAAAGGTGGTATTTTGAATTGAGCCTCAAGAAAATAACACACAAGCTAAGGGTGGTGGCACACACCTTTAAGCCAAGCACTAGGGAGGCAGAGGTAGGCAGATCTCTGTGAGTTCAGGGCCCCCCTGTCTACAGAGTGAGCTCCAGGATAGCCAGAGCTACATAGTGACACCATCTTGGAAAAGAAAGAAAAGAAAAGAAAGAAACAACACACAAGCTGGATGACATGGTTGAATCAGGGTGCGATTGAACAGGTCACCCAGATGACTCTCCCAAGGATTGTACAAATCTCAGATGAGGCAGCTCCCTAGGCCAGCATCAGGAAGCACTCCGAGGGAGTTAGACGTTCTTGTAAGAGCTATGAAATCCAGATGAGGGTCACCGAGGCCTGCAGCATACCAGGCACTGTCCCAAGTTTTTGATGTGAGGTAATTAATTTAATCCTCCTACAGCCCTCTGGTATAAAAACTCTCACTAGCCCCACACCATGGCTGAAGAAACCAAGGCATGGAGAGGTGAGGTCACTCAATACACAGGGATGTTGGGTGGCCTTAGCATTCAGGGAAGGACCAAGCATACTGGGCTGGCATGTCACATCCTGAGTCCCACCTACAAAGAAGTGCCACAGATAAGCTCACTTAAAAGCTTTAGTATAAAAAGAAATGCCTATAGAACCCAGTCCCTTAACACAGAGTTGACAAACTGGTCCTGGTACCCAGAGAAGGCAAAGAACCTGCCCAAGCCCACACAGGGGAATCAAAGGAGGCCCTGGTCTGAACATTTGCTTTCCTTTGGTCTCAAATCTTCCTGGAGAATTTCAGAGTTCTCAACAGCCCTTAAAACTCCAATTCAGATATAATAGTCACATAATTGCAGCCTCACTGCTAACAAATAGAAGATGAGCTCTATGGACCCTTCACTGTTGGCTTCCTTTCTATTCCACAGGAAACCTAGGCGGAAAGTCTTGATTATCACCCTCATTTTACAAGGAAGAACACTGAGGCCCAGAGAACTTCAATAACTTGCCCAAGATCATAAAGCTGGGGAAGTTTGGAGCTGAGCTGTGTCAAAACTTCTGGTGTCCACCTTCTCAGACTCTTTGATGTGGACAGAGTGAGAACAGCCCCTCTGCCCCCGCTCTAGTAACATACTCCTGTCAATAACAAGATCCTCAGGCACTAACTGGGAGGTCTTTCCATTGCAAGGCTGTGAGGCCCGACACACTTTGAACCTAGCTGAAGAATGTGGTAATTTTTCTTGTGACAATGACCTGGTGATTAAGGTCATTGGCCCAGGTCCAGCTGCTTGCTCCCTGGCATAGTTCTGAACACCAAAATACAAATATTCTCAGGTTATTTCTTGTGTGTGTGTGTGTGTGTGTGTGTGTGTGTGTATGGTCTAAGTGTGTACACGCATGCAATGCCTGTGTGTGTATGTGTGGTTGACAGCAAGTATCTTCCTCCGTCACTCTCCATCTGACTTTTTTTTGAGACAGGGTCTCCCACTGAACCTGGAGCTCCCCAACTAGCACCAGGGACTCTGTTGTCTCCACTTGCCTGTAGCTAGGGTAACAGGTGCTCAGAGCTATACCCAGCTCTTACATGGGTGCTGCAGGCCTACATTCAGGTCCTCATGCTTGCACGGTGAACGGAGCCATCTCCTCAACCTCCCTTTAGGTTATTTCAACAAAATACCTGAGCCTGTGTTGGCGCACACCTTCAATCCCAGCACTCAGGAGGCAGAAGCAAGAGGATCTCTGTGAATTTGAAGCTAGCCTGGCCTACATAGCAAGTTCCAGAATAGACCAGGACTACATAGAGAGACCTGCCTTAAAACAACCCACAAACCCCAAAAGCAAAACCTTAAACTACCCAAGAACCCAAATAAAAAGCTACTCTTGCCACTGCCAACATCCCCTTCTTTTGTTCTGGAGGGAGATGGCCCTGCCTCTGACCTGGACTTCAGATTTCTACCTCCCACTGGGTTGAACTGGTGTAACTGGGGGATGAGGAGAAGCCTGTGCTGGGCCTCAGTGCCTGGTGCCTGGTGCCTGGTGCCTGGTGCATGAGGTCAGGATCAGGATGGCGCTGAGGTTGATTTACGATACTGAGATTAGATGGCGCCCAGAACTGGGCTCCAGCCAAGTCACAAGGAAGATTTTCCTTTCTATATTCTTAGTGTTTATATGGGTGGTGGCGGCAGGGTGCATGGTGTGTGTGCGTGCATGCATGCATGTGTGTATATGTGTGTGTGTTTTATCAGAGGACAAATTCTGTTTGGCATTTCTCCAACATCATTCACTATTTCTTATTTTTAATTTTGAGGCAGGGTCTCTCAGTGGCCTGGAACTCACCAATTTGACTAGGCTGGCTGACCAGTGAGTGCCAGGGATCCACCCACAAGTGACCAGCCTTTTCTGGTTCTGGGATCAACCTCAGGTCCAGAGCTTGCAAGGTGAGCACTTTCCGTGCTGTCTCCCCACACCCCTTCACATTCCTGACCATAGACACATAGCACAGAGGTTTGTGAATGGGAGGGTTCAGTTCACATCTGTCAGCCCTGGGCTGATAGGATCACATTCCTTTTTCCAAGGACCCCAGGAGGCACTATCCTTATAGCCACTTATATCCAGGGATACCGTAGTTAGAGAAAGGAGGCCACCTGTCCACAGACAAGTAGCAGATGGTTCATGAGGGCCTACAGACAGTGTCATAATAGCTTGAGGTGGACTAGGACCATTGGATGGCAGTCATACATCCAGGATCTTTAATGAGTATCTCTTGTTGCGAACACAGCCAAGCCCAGAGAGGGTAGCAAGTGGCAACTTGCTAAGGTCACACAGCAAGTCAGGGCCACTGGGACTCTTTGTCTAGTGTTCATCAACCTCACTGCGTGGCCTCTACATGGAAAGGGGACCTGTGATAGGAAAAAGCCCTCGAGTAGAATTCAGGTTTTTACAAGCGGCCGCAAGGCTGTCTTACTCAGACTCCTCCTCTTTGGTGTCCCTCAGGCTCTCCAGGAATGCCTCTTCAAGTATATCAAGCTCCTCCATGGGTACCTGGAGCAGGGAAGTCACATGACAAACGAGGACTCGGGCCCGGGCATCGTAGTGTCCTTAAAAGGAAACAGAACACCCAAAGAATCAGTTCAGGTTTTAACTCAAGAGACATCAGCAGTGGTGCAAACAGCAAAACCCAAACCTGGAGGCAAAAAGAAGAGCAGAGGGAAAGCCAGCCTCAGTGGTGGTTCTCAGCAGCTCCCACCTTCCTCAGCGTCACTGTCCCCTGACCCAAGCACACCAGGCCACACATCCCTGTGTGCCTACAACACTCCAAGTAATGGCTTTGGATCACATGATGCTCTGATTCCTAAATAACAAATATCAGTCTCTCACAGCATGTCTTCAGAATGCTAAGCTCTATGAATTTGTTTCCATTGCTGCAATAAATTGCCCAGGTATAATATTTTTTAAAAAATTAATAATTAATTAGCTAATTAATTGTGTGTGTGTGTGTGTGTGTGTGTGTGTGTGTGTGTGTGTATGAGAGGCAAAGAGGGCAATGTGTATGTGTTCATATGTATTTGGGTACTTATGTGTGTGGAGGTCAAAGGTCAACCTCTTTTGGGACAGGTTCTCTCACTGAACCTGGAGCTTGCCAGTTTGGCTAGTCTGACCACCAGGTTCCAGGGATGGTCCTGTTTCTGCCCTCCCCCCCCTGCAGCCCCCAGTGCTGGGATTATAAGTATGTGCCACAGGGACACCCCCATTTCTGCCTCCCCAGTATGTGCTGCTGGACATGGCTTGTATGTGAACGCTGGGGACTGAACATTTTCGCAGGGCAAACACTCTTGAGATTGAACCATCTCTCTGTCACCAGGTTCTCGAACATACTCCACTCCTGTCTTTATATAAGGTTTTGCTATGTATCCCAGGCCCTCGAGCTCACTAAGTAAATCACGCTTGCTTTGAACTTTCAATCCTCCTTCATTCAGTGACAGTGCCCAAGTCTTTTCCTGGTTTCCAGAGGCCGCCCACAGTCCTTGGCTCTTGGCCACATTACTCAACTTCTGTTTCTTTCTGGGTCTCCTTTCTCCCTCCTCCAGGGACTCCATCATGCCACCTCAAAGTCCAGACCATCTCCCCATCTCAAGACACTTCATCTGGACACAATTCCAAAGTCCTTTTGTCATGTAGGGTAGCAAAGTTAGAGGTTCCAGAGCTGAGGGCTGACACCTCTGAGGGGCCCAGACTCTACTGAGCTTTGAACCTTTACTTTTCCTCAAGATAAGGCTCGGTCGCCACCTTTGTCTGGTGGTCCTGCCTACAGCCCCTCTCCTGGCATTTCTCTGTGTGACTGGCTTGCCTGTGACCAGCTAGATGACACACTGACTCATCCAAACGTCCTACTGTAGCATCTGCCTTCAGTAAGTTGCAACATAAGAGCTTAAAATCAGATTTGTTTTTCTCAGAGAGTCACAGGACTTGACATTCAGCTAGCTGCTCTATTTTTCTCATGGGCCCTGTGGAGACACGAATGGTCACAAGTGCAGTTTTCAGTTCCTGCTGCCCATCTGTGTTATTTGAGGAACATGCCAGGGATGAGGGTTCCTGGCTGGGATTACAGTTCAGTGGCCCAGCTGATCTAACACCCAAAGGGCTCCATCCTTCACACACACACACACACACACACACACACACACACACACACACACACACAAACACACCCCAGTTCCTGCCTCGGCTGGTGGGGGCAGGGAGGGGGTACTTAGAGCCCTCAGACATACATGTTGTAATGGGAGCTGCCTACGTGCCCAGAGACAAACAAGTGTGTGTCGCGTCTTGGGGTCACTGGGTTAACACAGACAAAGGCACTCCTTTTTCTTTGAATAGAAGCTTGTGACGCCGGATGATAATCAGGTTGCAGAGAAGGCTTGGCCAGGGTGATTAATGGGTGGCGATTGTAATTAGCTGGTAATGCATGCTCCATCGGTCAAGGCTGTGGTGATTCAGGCTGTCACGTGCATGGTGGTTAATAAGCAGGGGGTAATGTCAGGCATAAGGCCCTTCCCTGGGAAGGGGCCTGGGAAGTCCCGGGCTGGGCTACAGGACTGGGAGCAGAGCTTCTGTTCGAGGCAGCTGGGAGGCTCCTGGACTATCTCAGGCAGTTTGGAGCAGTTCTCTTACCAGATTACCAGGAGGCCAATTCACTTGTAAGAGGTGGCCCAGCAGTCCATCCACTTTGGCCTGAGACCCTGGGCACTGGTCTCGAGCAGTGGCTCTCCACCTGTGGGTCGTGACTCCTTTTGGGGGTTGAACAACCCTTTCACAGGGGTCACGTATCAGATATCTGATGAATCTGATATTTATATATTACAATTCATAACAGTAGCAAAATTACAATTAACAAGTAGCAATGAGGGGGCTGGAGAGATGGCTCAGTGGTTAAGAGCACTGGCTGCTCTTCCAGAGGTCCTGAGTTCAGTTCCCAGCATCTACACGGCAGCTCACAATCTGATGTCCTTTTCTGGTCTACAGGCATACATGCAGTCAAAAGGCCCGTATAACTTAAAAAAAGCAGTAGAAAATAATTTTATGGTCAGGGGTCAACACAATATGAGGAACTGTATTAAAGGGTCGCAGCATTAGGAAGGTTGAGAACTGTTGGTCTAGAGGTCTCTGGTTCTTCCAGGCCATCAGCTAAGGCCAGAGCCGAGGCTCCTAAGGACAGACTGAGTTTAGCACTTTGCTCCCCATGGCATGGCTGCAGTCATTGCTCTCCCACCTCGAGTTATCCTGCTGGCTCCTTTTTCATTCTGGCCCCATGCATTCCATTTGCTCCATGGTAGCCAGAGAGGTCCATTAAAAACTACTATCAGATCATTTTCTGTCCTAGCTTAAGAGTCCAACAGCTACCAAGGTCTTTAGGAAAAAAAAAAAAAAAAAAAAAAAAAAAACACTTGCCATGGCCAGCAAGACTGTTCATTCCCAGGCCCCGCCCACCAGCTTCTCTAGCATCCTCTACCACCTGCCTGTGTGTGCTGACCTTAGGCCCTTTATACTTGCATGCTTGCTGTCTGCCAACTAGCCCCCCCGCCGCCCCCCCAGTGCGCTACCAGGCTGGCCCTTGTCCACCAGTCAAGCTTCAACTTAAATATCAGCTCCTTGGAGCGGCCACTGGCTTCTCACCAAGAGCAGCTCAGCCTCAGCCATTTGTGTTGACTTTTGTGTGGGTCAGCCTATCAGAATGTCGGTCCCACAGAGCAGGGCTCTCTACCTGCTCCTGTCTGCATTTGGCTTAGTAGGTGCACTCACTGACAGACCACAGTCTTCCTGACCCGCCAGGTTTTCTACTGTGTCCATAGCCCCACATGACACAAAAGACCTTTGCCACCTTTGTGTGAGTTATTTTTTTCAGGAATTCTGAGTCATTCCTTCCCGGGTAGGTGGCTAAGCCCCTCCCCCAAGCCCTTATTATGAGCCAAGCTCTGGCGATGCTTAGAACATTCTGTCTGAGGTTTATGCACAGTGCAGCTCCTTCTCGGGGGCACCTCCTCTAGGAAGCCCTTGTGGATGCCATGCCACGGCCTCTGTGGCCTCAGCAGCAGAAGATCCTACTGATCACCAATTAGATGGGCAGTTTTGGAGCTGGGGATGGAGCTCAGTTGCTAGTGCACTTCCCTAACACACATGCACTAAGTCCTGGCTTCCACCCTCAGCAGTGCATAAACTAGGCCTGGTGCATGCCTGTAATCCCAGCACTCAGGAGGTGGAGGCAGGAGGACCATCTTGGTACCTTGTCTCAAGCAACAAATAAAAATAAATACGTTGGTAGTTTTGACTGACTACTTTTTTTAAACTGTCTGTCTCCAGTTGCAAGATATTTGGTTACATTGGGTAAGGATATGTCACTGTAATTGGTTTAAATAAAAAGCTGAATGGCCAATTGCTAGGCAGGATTTCCAGGCACGGAGGATGCTGGGAAGAAGGTGGAGACACCAGGGATGAAGAGCAGGCAGCATGCACAGTAGAAAGTAAAAGTAACTGAGCCATGTATAAGAACGTAGATTAAAAGATACGGGTTAATTTAAGCTATAAGAGTTAGTTAAAAAAAAGTCTAAGCTGAGAGCCGAACTTTCATAATTAATAATATATCCCCGTATCGTGATTTGGGAGCTGAGGTGGGACAGAGAAAGACCAGTCTAGAATACAAGTTCCAAACCCACCTGCACCTCTAATGCTGGGCCCTGCCTGGAGCCAAGAGAGGCTTATGCTCTGCATGGCTGAAGGAAGGACTCTGGAGGAATGCATAGAAGGACCAGTGCTGGGAGAGGCCCAGCTATGGAGCGTTAAGTAGACTAGATGATTTGGTTCTCCCTTCTGGCAGAAACATCCCATGATTCGTGGGCCAGTGAGATGGTTCAGTGAATAAGTGTGCTCGCTGCCATCTGGACAATCCTGAGGGCTAAATTACAGGCGTGCACCCCCTGACTGTCCCTCATGATGACACGCTCATCCTGCCACCTGTAAAATGGTTCAGCATGGTGGAAAACAAGGTCAAACAGTGCCCATCCTCTCTACTCTGTCTCACTGAACAGCGGGCCTCTGAGCTGGGGCTGCAAGCAAGGCTGTGAGCTGCCTGCTACTGTGCAAGAGCTGTGTCCTTTAACCCTCTTCTCAGGGTCTGGGGACACCCCTTACAGGCCACTCTCATGTACCCGCTGGCCTGCCTACTGCTCTGCTAGCTCCCTGTTCACCAGCTTTCCTGACTATGCATTTCCAGGAATATTTACTATCGATCCCCATTCTCACTCTAGATGAAAAGTCTCCTATGAAAGAGAAGCCACACCATATTTCAATCCCATTTGTGGATTGCTTGTGGCTAGGGCAGAGGGCATAGAGATATACTTCAGAGGCTGCCTCCAGCTCTGCCTCCTCAGAGGCCACGCCGGTCCTGTGGCTGCACACATGCCTATGTCATTCAGGCCCGGAGGCATAACAGTAAAGGATGGATTGTGGGTGATGCTTCAGGGTTAGAATCCCAGCACCTGGCTCCCAGATATGTGGTCTCAGACAGGTTATTGTATCCTCTGTGCTATACTGTCCTCTTTTGTAA